GGAGGATCTATTGGCAGAAAGGCAATATAATATTCATAGGTATGTTTTCATTTGTGTATAATCACCTGAAAATAAGAACTTGAGTTTTTCTTACCTTAGAATGAGCCATTTTTATTTACAGAAGGAGTGGGTCATCTTCCGTGGAGACCGCTATGTTTCTACAGTAGCCCAGAAGGGACAAACTAAACACTGGCTGTAGCCTCGTGTTTTGCGCGAGTTTCACAGCCACCGTAGTTTCTTCTACGTGCTTGGAAGGCTGAGTTGTATTCATATGGTTGCAATTTGCAACTCCACCACTAGATGCCACTGAATCAGGTGATGACTTCGCCATCCTGGGGGCAAAAAATTCACATCCTGTTCCAAGCACGTAAGAGTAGAGTGGCTGTGAAACTCCATATCTACAGCCAGTGTTTGTCTGTTCTGGGCTACTGTAGAAACATGGACCTTTAAATATCAGGTATTCCTGTCTTTATTTTTCAACAAACTAAGTATAGACTTTTCAAAAATGTTATATCTTGATTTGGACTGATATGCATATACTGTGACTGAGGTTTTTATCCATATTCCCCTCTACTACCTCAGTGTCTGACCAAGCACAGGCAACAAAGCTGCACATACATTTCTAGTTAGTTTTCTTAACAGCGAGGACACCCTGCCCCAGACTCTTGCTGCTGCCTCAGGAGGCAACAAAAAGCTAATGGATGCATTAGCTACACTTTTTGTTGTTTGTGTGTCTTGATAATCCCCAATAGGTGATTACATCTACCTCTGAGGTCGGGCTGTTCTCTAGTTCGTCTGCTGTGGTTGGGGAGAAATTAAAACCCAAACAAGCCAGATGTTTGTTGACATATTTGGTGAGAAAAAATGACAAGAATCAAATTGTTCAAGCTCAAAATCTCTAGTGATCGAGAGAGGAACAGCAAATCGGTTGCCCATGAAGCTCCTCGTGGAGTGGCCTTCGAGTGGGTTAAAGTAGAAGAGGGCCTAAGACAGGAGAGTCTCCATTTTAAATCCCTGGACAAAAAGAAAGTAGCTCTAAGGTGCCCTTGAGGAACAAAACAAACCCCCAACAGAGCCACTCCATGACCCAGGAAACAGTGCAATGATTGCCTCAACTGTGAGCATCTGTGTAGGTGATTAAAAAATTCAAAGCCCTGAAAAAAAAAAAAAAAAATACCTTTAAAAAGGTCACAACCAGGACACAATAGAAAGCAGTGACCAGCTCCTAACTCCATCCTCTTCACTGCTCTCTGAGTTTCGAATTTTCAATCGACATGTGTTGTGTATTCCCAGATCCCTTCTGCAGCTGCTCCTGTGGTTGGGCAAGTGCTTTGGGCTTCGGTTTATGTAATGACTGCAAAGCAACACACACACACATACACATACAGTACGGCTGACTGAGTTGCTGCATGGCCAACATTGTGGCGAGCCGAAACAGAATCATTACAAACACTTTCGCTTATTAAATTGGCATGCTGCTGGATGCAAGACTTTATTTCATGGTTGGGTCTACAGAAGAGTAAGCAGTGTTTGAAGGCCAGGATACTGTCATTAGAAACATTCTTAGGACAGAAATATCTCATTTGTTACAGAAAATTACTAAATTCTTTACTACACGGCACGCTGAAATGTGAAAACAACACTCGACAGTGATGGATATAGTGTGTGCAAAATATTAGCACATATAATAACTGACCAAGAATGAATTACGATCTTTTACTGAAGGCACCTCTCACATTAAAAGGGAAAAAGGACTAATACTACAGAAATACTACACAATATTTCACAGCTAATGGCAGCAAGCACCTGTCCCACTTACTTAAACCTCTGCACATCATGTTGCTTAAGGGTCTATGTTGACTATTCTGACATGACAATAGATTTGACACAGAGATAATCCCTCAGGTTGTGCATTGTGTACACTCACTTGTGACCTTTAAACTCCTCCCTACAGCGGTCAAAGGTCAGCTAAGGGCAGACCGAAGCTCTACCTCCATTAAAACGTTTACTGGAGCCATGAAACCAACATGAACACTGACATTCAGAGCTACACTCAAAATGAGTTGGTCATACTCTCCAGATACTCACTAAACTAAAGAACAACAGCTCCACATAGTGGACAATCTAAACTGTGCCTTGATAATAAAGCTCAAGGCGCAATTTACCAAACATGAAGGAACGTTTAAAAAAGAAAAGAAATTGAAAATATAAAAAATATATATAATTAAATACCCAAATGAAAATAAATCTTGTTGAAGTAGACTTTATATAAAAAGTGCAGTTATGACGGCTTTTGCTCTTTATCAAGACGCCTTTCCCGGGGAGGTTTTTCAGTTGTTTCCGACGGCATCTCTGCCCTGTTCCTGATTGTGAATTGTGAAGACACAATTTTCTCTTTGAGTCCTTCTCTCAAGTCTGCTCTCCACTGGTTCCCCGTCCTGCTGTGTACTTAAGCATTAGGTCTGTAGGAAGAAAGACTTTAATCAGCTGTAATGCAACATTATATTAAGATTCACAATAAATGTGAAAGTTTCATTTAGAATTTCACTATTTTCAGGGTTTCCTTCAATGCAAGAAACTACTGTTCAAAATCTAATTCTACATCTTGTAAAGTGTGACTTGTTGTCCTTTTACATCTAATTTTTATTTGATTACGGTATTTTTCAAATATATACAGCTGAATTGTTGTCTTCTGCACTCTTTTTTAATTTTACCCCTAACATTTGCCAGTAAAGAGGAGGTAACTTCTGTTGTCTATTTGCTTCATTAACTGGTGTCTTAGTCTATAACTGCAGTCAGATGAAAGAGTAAAACTTCGAATAAGTACAGATTATTGTAGGACAGTGAGTGTTACCAATGTTGTGTCTTCGATCAATCTTTGTCACTATAATTACAAGTAACATTCAGGTTTGGCATAACATGTGATTTTATGCACATGTACAGTACACCTGCTTACCTGGGCAAAGAATTTTTGTCAGTGATGCCTTCAGTTCCATGAGCTCCGGGTTCTCCTCAGAGTCCTTACTGGCGTGGAAGCTTGTGAAGTGCAGCGCAGGCCACCAGTCTTTTCTTGCAGCCATTTTTAGAGAGACGACGTCCTTCCAGTCTTCTCTGTTTTAATACATAAATACACACATCGGTTAGTGACATACAATAAACAGCAGTTTTAATCAAATATAGCACTTCCAATTTTCCAAACTTTTTATACGTACTGTAACTGTAACTTTTGAATAATGGCCTTTAAACGCTTCCACACGTCCAGGTTGCTCCTCCAGCAGGCGAAGTCTAACATCTCCAGGACAACTCCTAAAGCTTTCTGGAGGTCACTTTTTTTCTCTAGAAACAAAAAAACACATCAATAATTGATATTATGGAACAGATAATCATTAACTATCTGGTAAGATTGTGAACCTTTATGAGATCAAATCTGCTTTTACCTGACTGAAGCAGGAAAGAGCTGTAGTCCAACATCATCTCGTGGCTTGGGACTAATACATGGAGGGTCTATGACATAAGGAAGTGATGTTTTAAGGACACAGTAGACACATTTGTGTTATTATCATATTGTGCATAGTTTCACAGGGATCATTACAGTTTCATATTTCTCTTTATAATATGAAGTTAATGCAAAAAAAATAACAAATACATTAATACATGAACATGTTAAGTACTTCCAAGGAAATATGAACTCTTGTTATCAACTTAAATACTGGTTAAAGACTCATTTATATAATTCAAACTATACAGAAACAAAGCAATAATTCAACATATATGATTTACGATATACATGTTATAAACAACATTTTTAGCTTCAGTGGTTTCAATATACAGTTATACCTTCAATACTTTCATCAGTTTCCTATCAGAGGTACCATGCTGCTTTAAGTACTGGTACAGATAGACATGCGCGTTAGGATTGGGTGGAAAAGTGTTGTCATAAGCGTAGTCATTCAGGATTTGTAAAGCTTCCTCATGATCTTCATAGAACTCCAGCATCTGTTAACATAAAACAAAATTTATACAATTAGTGGGAAGTTTCACTTGAATTGGCCCTGAAATTGAACAATAATAAGCCTGACAAGAACATTTGAAAAAAAGAAACACAAACACTTTATCTCTTAAGTAAAATGCTACTTTTTTAATGATCAATTAATCTATCATTTAGTATCTACTTTTTAATAATTTAGGTGTAATATCAAAGAACACCAAAATATATAACATGAAGCAGTTCATTTTTGACATTTTTCCTTAAAAAAAGAAACAATCGATTATCAAGATAGTTGCCGATTAATTTGCTGTCAAACAACAATTTTTTAGCAGCTATAGTTTTCGTCTATACTGTTTCATCTTGTGATGTTATATATGTATCTTTAATTATGTCAGGCAGAATGAGTGCTTACCTCAACATAACTCAGTATGAAAGAATCCCACACACCAGGACTTTTCAAAATCTCCTTTAGGTTCACAGAGGCCTGTCTGAAGTAGTTTTGCAGTTCTTGGTTGTCACGAGGATCTGAGAGATCTAAAAGTTTACAGTTTACATCATATTTTAAAAATTCGATCACACTAGAGGGCGTTTAGTGGAAAGTTTATACACACAAATAGGTTTCCTACAGCCTTTAGTTCCTGGGTCTGACCTCTAGGTGGCAGTATGACATTACACAAGAGCTGGCAGCATGTCTGTGTAATGGATACAAGTGAATAATAGATGCGTTGGGTGTTTAGATGAGTGTCACCTTACCAGTGTTGTAGTGTGTAACCTTTTTGTCACACCAGATGATATAATCCAGTAAACCCCTGTAGGAGTGGATCAGTTGAGTCCTCTGATACTGAGCTGCTGACTCCTTCCCATGCCTCCAACCTTCAGCAAGAGACAGCTGACGCTTTGCATCCTCAATGTGACCATTAAGCATCAGGTGGAATGAATGTTCCAGACAGATCTAGAAACACAAAGGGACAGGTCTCCACTGTGTTTCAGCAATGTAGGGAAAAAAAGGGGGAATCAACATGAAACACTGTGTAGTCGGGTCTGCTAGCTAACATACCATCAGGTAGTGTTTAACTCCTGAGTGTTTCATTCGTTCATAGATGTTGTTGTAGTCTTCCATCTTTGAGTTGGGGTGATGGTGAAGGATCTCAGTGCTAATTCTCCAAATAACCTGGGTTGAAAAGTGCAAAAAGAGGGTTAATATCAAGGACGTGGAACCTTGCATACAGTGCTTTATCAAATAATACATTATTTTTGCCCACCGCCTTTCTTTCCACCTTCCCTGTCTATCTTCACCTGTCCATCTTCAAAAACAACTATTTTAAAAAAATGTATGAAATCTATTTAAGACAGAGAGAGAGAGAGAGAGAGAGAGAGAGAGAGAGACCCATGTTGGAGCCCCAAAGTTGTGTTTTAAGAAACAGGGCTTTTCTGACATTCTGAGAGTCAAAGTATTGTCTGTCCATGCTCTACTACAGAATTATGTGTAGGAATTTATGTTGATATGTAATGTGTGAAATTGTATAATTGGTTTCCTATAAGCCACGTGGGCTGGACACTGTCTGCATGAAAAACATACAAACATACTAATGCAGACTTACCTCCTTATTCTGCTGAGCCTTGGCGTGGCTTGTGTTTTCTAAAAGTTGTGGGTAATACGCCATATATTCTGCTGCCTCTTGCCATCTATGATGCAGAAGAGCTTCTCTGATCTGCTCCAGACAGATTCTGGTAGTTTGCTGAAACCCAGTTTCCTTAGGTTTCTCTTAAGATGAAAAAACAAAGCTTGATGACAGAAATGCATTTGTCATAAACATTATTAACTATTATAAGTTCTATGGCTTGACCCTCACTTGATTTTTGAGGCTGACACCAATAATATATATATATATAT